CAATCCATTGAGCACCAAAGGAATCACGTTAAGAGCAACCTGCCGTGGCAGGGAGGGTGAGAGCATGAAGTAATTGGGCGCTTAGGACCCTGTGAGTCTCTGGGCCAAAGAGATGGATTTCGGGTCCGACTGCAGACTCAGTCTTCACTGCTGGCACAAGGGCCGTGTGTGGGCCGGGGCTGGGATCTGCACCGGACCCATGCAAAGTAGCCATACCAGCAGCAGTAATAGTAGTAATGGGGGAGGAGGAGCAGGACAGGGAGGTGGCCCCTGGTAAACAGTGCAACCACTGAAGAAAACTGTACGACTATTCCTGAGTTACCATAGAGGGCAGCAGGCTACTTTCTTGCCTTTCCTTTCTTTCTTTTACATTTTATGTTGTTTTGATGTTTTTTGAGGCAAGGTCTCCTATGTAGTCCAGGCTGGCCTTGAACTCACTATGTAGCCCAGCTTGGCTTGAATTTGCAGAGATCCTCCTGCCTCAGACTTTCAAGGGCTGGATCACAAGCGTGTGTCACCATGCCCAGTAGCAATCTCGTTTGTTGAAGCCAAAAATCTGAAAGGGGGCTCTCAGCCTGGCTCACGGCAGCAGTACTTACTTGCCAGTGTCCAGGGACAGATGGAGGACACAGAAAAGGAGACATGCATGTAGCAGAACGTGACTCCATTCTTAAAATGCAATTCCGAGCCACGTGAGGCGCCTGGACCCCAGCAGGACCACAGCGAGTTCGAACCCAGCCGGGCTGCACTGTGCGTTCCAAGTAGCCTGAGCCGCAGAGCAGGACCCCGTCTCAAAAGCCCAGAAAGAAAAGAGCACAGGAAAGAAACCTGCCCGGTACCCGGCATGGACAACACCAACTCAGGCGGGCCTGATCTGAGGCAGCCGCCAGTCACAGCCCTGGCCCGTCTCGCAGGGGTCCGCAGAGCAGGACCCAGGCCCAGGGCGGCGGCGACACCGGGAGACCCTCGGCAGCGTGGAGCTCGCGCTCTTGCTCTCTGCCAGCGCCCTCCTCCCAGCTCTGCTGGGGAGACTGAGGACTCCGCGCCCAGCCCATCCTGGACCCCGGAATCCCACCACGGCAGCTCTCCTCAGGGACTAGTGCAGCTCACCAGGTAAGGGCACGAACGCCTTCACTGTCCCTGAGATGTGATCCGCGCTTATCAGGAAGACTGGAAAAGTGAATCACTGCCCTGGACTTCTCCACGTCAAGGGGAAAAAGCAATTCCGACCCAGGCTTCCGTAGGCTCCGGCCTCTCCTCACAACTGACTCGAGTGGTTTTCGCCTGTTCACACATTCACTTATTTAATAGCTGGGGGGCCTCCCAGGCCACCACCAACCAGCCGCAGCCTGGCCTAAGGCACGACTTTAGCAACTTTCTTTGTTGTTGTAATTGTTTTTTTGAAGGCAGGGTCTCACAGTGTCGTTCAGGCGGCCCCTGAACTGGGTACCTCAGCCCTGGACACTCTACATCCAAAGAGAGAGGTTCAGGACAATCCTGTGATCCCTGTACCTGGGCGGCTGAGGCAGGAGGATCTCAAGTTCAAGGTCAGACCGGACTACCTAGCAAGCTCAAGGCTGGTCCAGACCATGTATCAGGAAAGAGTTTTCTCCTTATTTGAGAGCTAGATCCAGCCTCTAACTAAATAGCTAATAAATTGAGTAAAACAAACAAAGCAAAATAAAAACGATCAACCTGATTTTCTGTAATTGAGGAATCCAACTTTTTAAAACCAGCAACCAATTGCTTTATTTTAATTTTAAATCTGTTTTTCACTGTTAGCCCCCACATACATACACACACCCGTGTGTGCACACAAATACACACTGTGAGCTGCAGGGCTGCACAGGCTGCTGATCTGTGAACATCAGAGACTAGAAAACTCTGATCCTCCTGGAAAAAGCAGAATGACCCTGAAAACTGAGTTAATGCACTAAAACAGCAACCTGGATAGAGCTGGGTTTCAGAGTAAATACACAACACGTACACACAGCTGCCTAGGAAATCCCTTCCCTCCACGGTAGAGCTGCCTACAAAAGGGGAGAGAGAGCAGTCAGCCTGTGACCAGTCCTGGACTTGTTTCTCTAAGACCCCAAGCTTTCGGTGCATCCCTGTCACTGCACCACACAGGAGGCTGAGGCAGGAGGATCGCCCTGGGGTCAAGAAGGTCAGCCTGAACTACATATCGAGACCTTGTCACAGAAAATTAAAATAAAACAAAACAAATAATACAAAACAGCAAAGTCACGTGGCACACAGACTCTAAAATATTCAACATCCTAAGCTATTTAGGGTCTTTGACTTGTTCACTACCTTGTTCTATACTAGAAAACATCAGCTGGCCTGTTGCTCCTTAAGAACCTAGGGAAAGCCGGGCGTGGTGGCGCACGCCTGTAATCCCAGTGCTCAGGAGGCTGAGGCAGGAGGATCCCTTGTGAGTTCAAGACCAGCCTGGGCTACATAGTGAGTTCCAGGTCAGTCTCAACTACATAGTGAGACCCTGTCTCAAAAAAAAAACAAAACAAAACAAAACAAAAACCCAAAAAAAGAACGTAGTGAAGATGATAATTTGACCAGTTCCTGGAAGTTAGGACACCCATTTTCCCCAGAAATGGTTCCATTAAAGTCAAAGCAGGGATCAAGCATTCTGCTTGAGGACAGCCACACCCCCACGGTCCTGACTTCTGTAAGGCAATGCTTTCTCCATCCCTGGCAATGCTAATACAATTCAAAAAATCAGACAAAATTAGCATCAAAGGCAAGAAAAAGTGGGGAAGCCAATTAAACTTACAACAAAAGCAAGTTCTGAGTTAAAATGAGGCACAGGCAACATTTCTTTTGGAAATATTATGTCTGTTTTTAATTTAATACTGCATTAAAACTGGCAATCACTGAGATTCATCAAGTCAATTTAGATATTTCCATATTATTTTGGATTTTAATTTTAGAACACATTAGAGTTTCAAAGCTGACATTTACTATAAATTGGGCTAATTATTTTCTCTAAACACTATTTAAGTAGACAATATTTTATGATTTCCTTCAGAAGGATCATACGGTATACAGAAGAACTCAATTTGCAAGTTCTTTTTTTTTTCCCCCTTTTCTGATGGAAATATTCTTTTCTAAAATGATATGGGCATGGTGAGCATGCCAGTAATCCCAGCATTGGGGAGGCTGAGTCAGGAGTATCTCTGTGACTTCCAGTCCAGCCTGGACAAGGAGAACCCTGGCCTTGGAAGATCACCTGATCAATCTGTGAACAATGTTGTATCATCAGTTTGCCCTCCTGATGCACCACCGCGACATGGGTGTCCACAGAGCCTGTGTCCCAGGTCCCACGGAGCTCACAGGGGACTCTCCACTCGGAATCTCCACATCTGTACCTGCCACTTGGTGGATGCAGTTTCCATGACAATAATGTGGGCTTTTCTTCATTTTTGGTGGCACAGAGGTTGAGCCCCTCTCACTGAGCCACCCTCTCAGCCCTTGTACTCTGAGACAGCGTCTTAGTTACCCAGGCTGGCCTTGAGCTTGTGATCCTCCTGCCTCAGCCTCCCGAGTAGCCGGGACACAGGCAAGCAGCACCACACATGGCCTGGGCCTGCTTTTACATGTGCCCAAATCCATGATATCACAGGTACCTGTTCCAAAAGCCCATCGTTTTACTTTTTAAAGTTTTCATTATTTATTAACTTATTTTTGAGTACTGGGCTTTGAACCCAGGGCCTTCCCACTGAGCCAGGTCTCTGGGACTTTTTTTATTTTCTGTTTGGAGACAGGGACTCACTGTTGCCCAGGCCAGGCTCAAACTTGAGATCCTTCTGCCTCAGCCTCCCAGAGTGCTGGAATTACAGTCTTGTACCACCATATCTGGTTCACAATGACATGTTTTTAAAATATGTAATTTATTTTGGGGAAAGAAAAAAAATCTTCATCTCTGGCATGAGAAGGAGCAGCTGGAGACCAGCATCAGCTACGTAATGAAAAAACAGGTCAAAGTTGGGTTCCCGTATTCCACTGCTCGAGGAATTCTGTTTAATTAGTTCTTCTCTTCCCTCCTCTCCCTTCCTCTGCCTTCCTTTTCCTCTCTCTTTTCTTTCCTGACAGGGACTCGTTCTATACTCCTGGCTAGTCTTGGATCCTTTGTGTAGCCCAGGCTCCTGTTAAACTCCCCGTTGTCCTGCCTCAGCCTCCCAAGGACTGGGATTATAAGCATACACCACTATGCCTGGCCTTTCTTATTCATTTTGGGGGGGTCTGGGGATTGAACTCAAGACCTGTGAGGCAGGTGGTGGAACCACTGAGCTAAATCCCTGGCCCCTGGGAACATTTTTTTAAATTTGATATGCTGCATTGTTTGCCAGTATCTCACTGAGGATTATTGTGTCTACATTCATTAGGGAGATTGGTCTATAGTTCTCTTTTTTTGGTTGGATCCCTTTCTGGTTTTGGTAATACTTGCTTCCAGGAATGAAGTTGGCAATATTGCTTCCCTTTCAATTTCTTTTTTTTTTGAGACAGGGTTTCACTGTATAGTTGAGACCGACCTGGAACTCACTATGTAGCCCAGGTTGGTCTCAAACTCACAGCGATCCTCCTGCCTCAGCCTCCCGAGTGCTGGCATTACAGGCGGGTACCACTATGCCCTGCTGGATTGACCTTTTCGGATAGGAAGATAGATCTGGTCTGGAGCCCACTGTGCAGTGCAGGTGTGCTGGCCCTCAGTCCACAGCTGGGGACAGGCGCTGCTAGGACAGGCGCTGCAGGGTGGCTCTCAAGTGGAGAAGTCCCGCACACCTCCAGGCACAGCGCTGGCTAATTTACCTCCGAGCACCGGCTCCCCCGGTGCAGTCGGACCGAGCCACACAGCTGGCTGAGCAAAGCTGAATTCCCAACGGCTTAAAATGTCTATTCTCGAGCTGGGCATGGGGCCCGCCGCGGTGAGCCCAGCTCTGGGGAGGCCGAGGCAGGAGGATCCCTGTGCAGGGCGGACTCACCTTGGATCGTCCGCTTGAAGAAGGCCTTGCAGGCCTCGCACGACGCCACGCCGTAGTGGTAGCCGCTGGCGATGTCGCCGCACACCAGGCACAGCCGCTTGGGCATGGAGTTGAGCATGTACTCACACTTGGTCTGCGGGTCCTCCACGATGGTGCTGGAGCAATCCTCGTACAGCTTCCGCCCCGGCCCGCCGCCCAGCAGCGGCGCGGACGGGTACAGGGGCGGGGAGTCCAGGCCGTTCTGGTGGCCGTTCATGGTGGAGCTGTAGCTCCCGCTGGCGTCCGAGGAGCCGCCCGGGCTGTGGTGGTTGACGCTGTCCGTCAGGGAGGCCGGGCTGGACGGTTCCGTCTTGATGAAGCAGCTGGAGTCAATGTGCCGGTCTTTGCTGGACATTCTGCAGAGAAGCCTGCGCGGGGGGAGAGGGGACAGCGTCAGACGGGCGCGGGCACAGAGCGCGGAGAGGGACGCAGGGGACGGTCGGGAGGGGCGGAAAGCATCTGCTCGCTGTGGAGCCCCGCTGGCCTGGAACCGGCCGCGATCCTCCTGCCTCAGCCTCCCGAGGGCTGAGATTACAGGCGCCGGCCTAAGAAAATTCTGTGTTAAAGATACGGCTCCCGGCTGGCCCTTCCCGAGGGCCGGGCCTGCACACCGGCCGTGCTGCAGTCAATGTGTGACGCGGCCGTCCACCAGGCACACGGGCAGGACCGGCAGGCTCCCTCGCTCGGGGCCTCCTGCGTCCTCTCTACAACCCGTTTCTCCACACTCAGCCTCCCCTGCCGGAGCTGGAGCCGCCGTGCTTCCCGTGGGGGGCCGGGACTGACCGCGGCGGGGAGCAGTGCGCTGGCTGCCGGAGGGAATCCGTGCTGGCGGACAGGATGCACCTGGGGTTATTTCTGGGCGATCGCCAGCGGCGCCGATGAACACGCGCGTGTGCACGGGTGAGTGTGTGCACGGGTGTGCGTGTGCCCAGGCGGAGAAGAGTCCGGGAGTCCCGAGCGTCCACGCAGCCTGGGCTGCACAGTGAGTCCAAGGTCAACCTGAACTAAAAAGCGAGAGCCAACAAGAAAAACCCCAAAACAAAGCAGCTGAGTCCCACCGAGGTAGGTGGCACCTCCTGTCACAACTGCACCAACCCAACAAATCTGTGCGGAAAACAGACTTCCAATGGGTCTTTCCACTCCCGTTTACATTTGTTGTCTGTCTCTCTCTCTCTCTTTTTTTTTTTAACTTCCCTATCCTGGAATTGAATCTTGGCTTCTGGCCTGAGCTACATCCCAAGCCCTTTTGTTATTTTTATTTTGAGACAATGTCTTACTAAATTGCCCAGTTTGGACTCGAACTTGTGATCCTCCTGCCTCAGCCTCCCAGACTGCCGCAATGACAGACATGTGCCACCACACCAAGCCGGAAACTCTTTCAACACGGTACCGCGGAAGCAAAACACAACTAGCCTGATGCAGTCTTGCTCTCACCCGGAGAAGCACGTCACCCTCTCTCTGTCGGCCCCGCAGCTGACTGGGCAGAGGGAAGGGTCCCACTGTCACGCCGTTGGACACGAGAGCCTGCTGCAGAAGAGGCATGGCTGGTGCCTCCCGGGGTCGCTGTTACTGTACCCATGCAGATTCCAGCCTGGCCCTACTGGCCCTGCCCCACTGTCCCTGGGCCCTGGAAGGCTCACCCTGGCCTGGGCCCCACTTGGCCACAGCCGGGGTCCAGCACCATGGTTAACAGCCAGGCCTCCTGTCCCTGTCCCGTTTGACGCAGGAGGCCGGCCTGACTCCCCCAGCCCTGCTTCCTGTTAATTCTGAGCCCGACACCGCCACTCCACTTACTGCCTCCTAATTACTGGCAGCCGCACGTACATTATGCTCCTGTGCTGGGGCTGGAAGTTATTAGGCCACTAAAGCACGCTGGCTCCCTTTCCTCTCTGCCTCTGAATCTCTCAAGCCATGACAATTAACTCTTCCACCATCTGCCCAAGGTGTGGATTTTATTCTATTATTTTTTTCCTTGCTTATAATTGCTTGGTCACAAAACCCACCCACCAGGTCAGGCTGGGGTTTCTTCTCCCTCTCCGTGCCCCTGCTCACTATCACCCCAATTTTCTTCCCTTTGTGCATTTCCTCGTGGACTTCTAAGATTTGCACAAAAGCCGGGCAGGTTTGTGCACGCCTGTGATCCCAGCACGTGGGAGGCTGAGGCAGGAGGGTGGCAAGTTCCAGGGCAGCCTGAGAAGTCTGGTAAGAGCCGTTCTCAGGAAATGAAACTAAAACGGCTGGAGAGCAGACTCCAGGAGGAGCACTCCACACGCCAGGAGGAGCACTCCACACGCCAGGAGGAGCGCTCCGCATGCTGGAGGTGCTTGGTACGAGCCCCAGCACTGCAAGAAACAAGATCTCCAAGGTCCTGCACCAGGCGCATGTGACCCGGCAGTAGAGCATGTGCTCAGCATGCCTGGGAGTTCGGTTTAATCCCCACTACCGCCAAAAATTGAGATAAGAAAGTAAAATAGTCCAGGACATCCTTGTGAGTCGGGCATTATGGCACTTTAGGAAAGTCAGCTGCTCAGAGATTCACTGACGGCCACGCCACTAAGAAGTGGTAGAGACAGGGTTTGAACCCGTGTCTGAGCCTGAAGCCCCGAATGAGTACCAATGTCTTTAAGACAACAGTTTTTAATGGTGTTTACTCATGGCATGGAAGGACAGGGTCTTGCTATATAGTTCGGGCTGGTGTTGAATTTCCTGTGTAACCCAGACTGAGCTCACGCTGGCAGAGACCCTCCTGCCTCAGCCTCCCAAATGCTGGGGTTACACGTGTAGGCCTCCAAACACGGCTCATTAAAACAAAACAAAACAGCTGCACCAGCAGCAGTAGAGGTGGCACACACAGAGATCACAGCTTTTATTGCTCAGCAGTTCTGCCTGGGAAAGGGTGAAGGTCGGCCCTGGGCATCCCCTGGCCCGCAGCGCCACTCCAGCAGCAATCTGGGAGACCCAGCTCTCTCCTGAGCCCTCCTCCCTCTCCTGCCTCGTTATAACCCCACACTGCAGAGAGGCTTAATTCTCTCGCTCTGCCTCCGAAACGCCACAGCTCTATTATTCAAGCCTGAAATATTCACAACTATCTATAAATTCAATTGTCAGCTGGTGGGTTTTATTCTGGACTCCACTTCAATCTAAAATTAGAGGCACTAAAATTCACATTAACTGTAAGAGGAATGTAGTGAATAAGACTTTATTTCAGAGGAACACCTTTTTGTCAGAAAGAGCCATTTTCAACGTGACGGCTTTATCTGGAGCCAAGGAGAATAAACCCAATGCCACAATGTGCTGTTAATGCGAAATTTTAGGTCACATTGGATTAATAAAAATCTAAATTTAGTTGAGAATTATGAATAGAAATAACATGTGTCAAAATATGTAGGAAGTATTTATTATAAAGCCTTCATACAGGTCTCTTTCGATGTATTATTTTAAGGGAAAGGATAAGAAAGCAAGACAGGATGCTTTGCAAACACCGGTGAAATGAGAACAGACAAAGGAGAGAAAAGTGCTCAGCTATAGTTCAGGTCCGTGCTCGCCCAGCAAGCGAGACACCCTGGTCACAGGCCCACCACTAAAACAGCAACAACAAATTAGTTCCGATATAAGAAAGTGCCTTCGAGAAACTTACCAGCCTTCCTAAAATTTCCGAGCTTTGAAAGGCATTTCCAGCCGAGTGTGGTGGCGCACACCTGCCACCCCTGCACTCGGGAGGGAGCCTGAGGCAGGAGGACGGCCCAAGTTTGAGTCCAGCCGGGACCGCAAGGGGCCTGTTTCCTGGCCCTGCCAAGGTCGGCCGGGTTAAAACTTCTCTGCTGAGACACAGGGTCGGGCGGGTACAACTCCTCAGCGAACAGCCTATCCGGGGTGACCCTCGGAGGGGAATGTCCTGCAGGCACACGGGTGTGCGGAGAGACACAATCAGAAGTGACGAGAGCGGCTGCCGGCCAGGAGACAAGTGATCAGTTCAGACTCCGACTCTCAGTTCAGGGCTGGCAGGGTCCCGCCCAGGCTCGGTCAGTGTGAGGCCGGCTGTGCGCTCCCCTGCGCCCCTCTAGGTGAGCAGTACCGATACAACCGGAACCCACTGTGCCCTAGGCATTTGTGGGGCCCCCATCTAAATAGAAGTTCTTAGCAAACAGCTGTATTCCATCAAGTAAACTACACATGAAACTTAAATTTAATTGCTACTTTATTTTTCTACTCAAAGAAAAATTGATGCAAGAAACTCTCATGAGTCACACATGTGATGGTCATGGAGCTTAAAGCTTATTATACTATAGTGAGAGCATCTGAAACTTTTTGTTGTTGTTTTAAGACAGGAATCGCTGTGTAGTTCAGGCTGGCTTGGAACTGCCAGGGAGCCTCCTGACTCAGCCTCCTGCATGTGCCACCTACGATCCTGCAATTCCTGTGACACCTCCACACCTCCACAGGCTACACAGACATCGACAGCAGAGCTCGCCACTCACTTTCTTCTCTGTCATTGCAAGTTTCCCAGCACTGCAAACTCCCAGGGCTTCCGAGCGGATGTTTGTTTTCACGTGAACCACAGATTTTTCCGGGGCTGAGAAGGTGGAGGCGGATGGAACACATCTTTTGCTTTAAAAATACCCGAAGCTCCACAGACAGGACAGTGTCTCAGACCCGGGTGGGGTTCCGGCTCGGTGCGCAGAGTGGCCCAGGCCGGAGTGGGCACCAGCGGCGGTCGTCAGAGGTGACCG